TTGTGTCTACACTTAGTCTATCTGAAGTGTCACTTTAAAAGCTGTAGTTTGAATGTCAAAGTAGTTAATTTCCAGGTTGCTGTTGACAAACTTATTGTTCATTTTTAATTAATTTTTTTTTCAATACAACACAGTAAATTTTTCTTTATTATTGAGTTGATGTGTATGCCTTTGGCAAAGCTAACATCTGCCTTATCTTCTTGCCCTATCAAAATCAAAGGTGATGATACCTGTGACAGTAATACAGTACGAAATGTGTACATCAATATGTGCCTCCTACAAATAAAGACTTGTTGTTTTTTTGATACACTGTGGTTCAATTCGTAATAACAGCTCCCTAGTCCTGTGGTTTTAGCATCATTTTTTTTTTTTGGCAGGATTTTTTTTTTTCGCCCTCTCGCATTAGTTTTGGGCTCTTCAAGGATGTCATCCATAAAATTAAATCAGTGTGGCCTAATTTACATAACCATGTGCTGCCAAGGAAAATGTCCTCTTTTCAGTATATAATGCATAGTCTGGTAAATAACAGTCACCCACTTTAGGATCTAACACAAATGATTCAGAGACTGCTGGGACAAATGCTGTCATGGTAACGACCTAACTTTGGGTTAAATAAAATAATTAGTGTGTTTCTACAGGTACCATTGTAAACAAATAGGCTACTAAGCTATAGGACAAACTTTTTAGTTTTTAATTTAGTTTATAAACTTTTATATATTTTTTTTTTATATATTCTTCTTAATCTTAAGGTTAACTGCTTCTCAATAAAATGCGAATCAGTCCATGTTGCCATGAGAATTATTTTCAAATGAAAACATGTGTTTATAGTATGCAACTAGAAACAAGTGTGTTCTCCGGGACCATTTAAACCGAGACAAGGCCAGACCCCCCCCCCCCCCAAAAAAAAACACATCATTTTGTATCAACAAACAAAGGAGTGTGGATGATCAACATTCATCAAATACCTTGTTATTGCACAATGTTGTAACGCTATTAAAAACGAGATAAGAAAGATGTGCAATAATTTTCCATATCACACCTGACTCTGTTTAACAATACTGAGATGCACAGATTCCTTTATAGATTTGAAGCAACATGCCCTCCAAACTGGTGACAGCCAGTTACCGTACTGTAGCAGTTTTGATCCTGACAATATAAAATTATATTGTTTTATTGTGTGGCTTGCTTTTATAACAACATTTCTACAACTAACTGTAGGATACATTGAAATATTTAGGGCACAAATCTAACTGCATTCGAGTAATTACGCATTCTTGGTGGAAAGAGTTATGAGTGCAGCGATCGAATGTTAGAGCGCTTGGGCGTCTAGTTGATGATGAGGTATAAAGCACTAAAATAACAATCTACACCGTGACCACTCAAATAAATCTCAAAAATCAGATTATAAACTAAAATCAATGAAAAACCAGTGCTCAAAATGATTGCATTTATTTTTAATGCAACCTATAAGGTATGATAAAACCTTTACGGACTGGATAAGGCAAAGGGTGTATACAGTCCATAAAGTGATTACCGGTATAATGATAAAGCAAATTACCGATATGTCGATCTAGATAATGTGTATGAATGGGAGATTATAGGAAGATTACAGTTAACCTTTACAGTTTTATTCATATTTCCGCAATCAACAGGCAGTGAAAGCCTTGGAGAACCAGTTGCATTATCTCATTCACAAAAAGGTAATAGAAAAACAGCATTTAACATCAAATAGAAAAATTCATACTCCTAATATAGAATATTGTATGAGGCAGATTTTAAAGCTAGTGATTGAAATGAAAAAAAAACAAACATGTAAGCCTAGAAAGAATTGATAAGATAATATCTTAATAATCACAGCAGATCTTATTTAGAAATTTTCAGATAATATATTTATTATATCCTACCTCTGTAAGAGCTGTTACCATGGAAACCTTTCCACCCATACTATGCCCGGTCAACACACATTTCTGTATTTTCAGTGAATTCAGCAAAGCAAGAACGTCTGCAGTCATGGCTGAATAACTCATCTCGTCGCTATGAGGACTATCTCCATGGTTACGGGCATCAACTGTTATTGTCTGAATTGTTGAGTAAAATGATTTAAGATATTATACATTCTAAACTCATTATTGTTGATCAGTGAAAACTGAAATTCAGAAAAAATACATTTTCCCATTCCTGTAGCCAGTGTGTGAGCGTACTCTGCTATTGAACAAACAAACATGGCATGGAGTATTTGTGAATATAACAAAAAATAAAAAACCTACAGGCAACTGACAGCCATTTGGCTCAATGACTGGGCTACAGGCAACTAACAGCCATTTGGCTCAATGACTGGGCTACAGGCAACAAACAGCCATTTGGCT